CAAAAATTATGTTTTATAGAATGAATGGTTGTCTTTTCATAAGATGATTATTGTAACAATACTTTTATCCAAAGATTGTGTCTTATAAAATGTAAAAATGTCTTTTAGACAAAGTAGTGTCTTAATGAAAGAATTGTATCCTTAAAAAAGAGACACTTACAGGCTTATGTAAAGGATTTGTTGCCAACCATTTTAATACATCAAAACAAAAACAAAACAAGAGCAGAAAAATTAAAAGCAAAAGAAGTGTTGTATTCTAAAAATTAACATAAATACTTAAGTTCTCATCAACTACAAAAACATTCAAATTCCTTATAATCTACTTGCTGCAGAAAGTTTGAATATGAAAAGTTATCGTTTCAAATTATAACTCAAAAATTATGTTTTATAGAATGAATGGTTATCTTTTCATAAGATGATTATTGTAACAATACTTTTATCCAAATATTGTGTCTTATAAAATGTAAAAATGTCTTTTAGACAAAGTTGTCTTGATGAAAGAATTGTATCCTCAAAAAAGAAACACTTACAGGCTTATATAAAGGATTTGTTGCCAACCATTTTGATACATCAAAACAAAAACAAAACAAGAGCAGAAAAATTAAAAGCAAAAAAATTGTTGTATTCTAAAAATTAACATAAATACTAAAGTTCTTATCAACTACAAAAACGCTCAAATTCCTTATAATCTACTTGCTGCAAAAAGTAGACTCTAAGGCCAAATAACTTTATAAATCCTCAAGTGTATCTAGTAGTACTCTCGTAAAGTGCAAGACGAAGTTAAATGTTTGGTTCATTATATCCCTATAGCTATTTCAATTATTCCTTTTTGCATATCGAGTGGTGAAAGGAAAATAAGTCTTAACGATAACGTCTATTGAAAGGCTTGTCTTGAAATAAATTTTGCCGATTCTTTGAATTCCATTTAAACCTCTTTTTCCCAAACAATTTTAATATATAAGTGGTGTTGGAATTCAAAATGGCTTCACTTAAAGAGATAGTTACCAACATTGTCAAGTTAGATCGCTTTGAAGGAGGAAACTTTATTCGGTGATGGAAAAAGATGCGCTTTCTCCCTACAATTCTCAATGTCACTTATGTTCTAAATACACCAAAATCAGATAAAGAAAATGATAAAGAATCTATGAATCAAACTCGTTTAAGGCAAAAATGGGATAATGATGACTACATATGCATGCGACACGTTCTTAATAGAATATCGAATGCATTGTTTGATGCATACCAGAATGAAGCTATTGCAAATTAGAAGCAAGATACACGACCAAAGATGCAAGTAGCAAAAAGTTTTTGGTTAATCATTTCAATAACTACAAAATGGTCGATAATCATTCTGTTATGGAGCAATTACATGAGCTTGAATGCATTTTAAATAACTTTGAGAATATGGTCTTAAAATGGATGAAGCTATTGTGGTATCTTTTATAATTAATAAGGTTCCCCCTTCATGGGGAGACACTAAAAAAACTCTAAACATAAATAGACAAAATATCTCACGAGGTCCTTAATAATTATCTTTGAATAGAAAAAGATTATCATAAACAAAAAGTCAAGCAAGATGAAAAAGAAAAGGATTTTAATGAAAAAAATCTTAAGACTTCGAAGGTCCATTTGATGGAACACAAACTATCAAACAAATTGGTCTCACGCAACAAAAGAAAACATTTTGTGGGTATGAATTGTTAGAATTAACTTGCATACTAGGAATAGTTATTTAGGATTTCAAATTTGTAGACAGTTATTGTTAGTTTTCTTCTTTGCATGTTGTTAGTGGCATTAGTTGTCAGTTTGAATGTCTTGTTCAGTTATGGTTTCTCTCTCTTGTACTTGAACTTTAAAAAGGCTAAGATATTCTTATGAATATATCTTAATTTTCAGCCTCTGTTTTGCTGATATTCTTATCTTAAGTTTTTCTTTATCCTTTCCTTTCTCAATTTTTTCACATGGTATCAGAGCCCCTAAGGATCTTAAGGGATCTATGAAATTTTCATTTTTTTCCTTTTACCTTCAAAACAAAGAAAAACCAAGCTTGAAACTCTGAAACCCGAAACCAACCAGAAAAATTCAATGGCTTCCTCCAGCTTCAATTCACCTTCACCACCTGTTTTTACATGTGAAAACTTTCCCATATGGAGTGTTAAAATGAAAGCCTACTAAAAAGCTTTTGATTTGTGGGATGTTGTAAAGACCGGGAGTGAACCACTAGAGTTAAGGAGAGATCCTATTGTTGCACAAATCAAGCAACATAATGAGGAAGTTGCTAAAAGACACAAGGCGCTAACTTGTATACCCTCGGCAGTTTCAGATTCCATCTTTACTCACAAATGATCTGTGAGACAGCCAAGGAAGAGTGGGACAAGCTTAAGGAGCAATACCAGGGAAGTACCCGTACACGGTAGATGCAAGTGCTTAATTTATGGAGGGAATTTGAGGTATTAAGCATGAAAGAGGAGGAATCGATAAAAGATTATGGTGATAAGGTTATGAAAATGGTTAATCAGCTAAAGCTTCTTGGTGAAGAGTTGAATGAGATGAGAATAGTCAACAAAATATTAGAAAGTCTGCCTGAAAAATTTGAGTCCAAGATCTCATCATTGGAGGACTCTAAAGGTCTCTCAACTCTCACTATGACTGAGCTTGTCAACGCTCTCTAGGCTCAAGAACATCGAAGAGCCATGAGAAGTGATGATAAGAGTGAAAGTGCTTTGCTAATAAAGCACAAAGGAGGGGCTAACATAGGCAGCAAGAAGAAAAAAATGGAGAAAAGAAGACCAAATGGAAAATACCCTCCATGCCAATGCTGCAAAAAACGAAATCATCTTGACAAATATTGCTGGTTCAGGCCGAGTGTGAAATGTAGGACCTGCAATCAGCTTGGCCATGTCGAGAAGGTGTCTGCAAGACCAAAGCAAACAACCAAGATGAAAAGGCAGCAGTGGTTGAACACAAAGAGGAGACAGAAGAAGTTTTATTCATGGCCAAGATATTTGAAGTTTCAAAGAAGAATGAGGTATGGTTCATTGATAGTGCATGTTCGAATCATATCACTGGCAATGTCAATATCTTGGCTAACCTGGACAGAAACTTCAAATCTCAAGTTGAAATTGGAAATTGGGAATTTCTTAAGATTTGTGGAAGAGGCACAGTTGAAGTGGAAACTGCTAAAGGTATAAAGAAAATTCCTAATGTTTTTTATTCACCAAAAGTGAGCTATAACTTGTTTAGTGTTGGGCAGTTACTTGAAGAGCATTATTTACTTGTGTTTGTGGACAATTTGTGCACTGTATTTGATCCTAGTGGTAAGAAATTATTCTCTGTTGGCATGAAGAACAAGTGCTTTCCTTTAGATTGAAAGGAAACACATCATCAAGCTTATCAATGCCTAACTGATTAGACTGAATTATGGCATAAAAGGCTTGGTCATGTGAACCATGATTCATTGGAGCGCATGACATCATCAAATCTGGTTGAAGGTCTTCCTAGCATGATCAAGACAGGACAATTGTGTGATACATGTAAGTATGGGAAACAAACCAGAAAAGTTTTTCTAAAATAGAGCACATGGAGAGCTACTGACAAGTTGGAGTTAGTGCACTCGGATGTTGGAGGTCCCTTCTCTGAGCAATCATTCAATGGCTGTAAATACTATCTCACCTTCATTGAAGATAAATCTAGATTCAGCTGGTTTTATTTTCTTAAGCAAAAGTTTGAGGTGTTCAATTGCTTTGTTAAGTTCAAAGTGTTTGTTGAAAATCAAGCTGGAAAATCAATTAAGGCACTTAGAACAGACAATGGAGGTATGTCTCTGATGAGTTTGAAAGATACTTGGTTAAGTGTGGCATAAAACACCAGCTCACAATTCCCTACAATCCACAACAAAATGGAGTAGCTGAAAGAAAGAATAGGACTTTGCTTGAAATGGCTAGATGTTTAGCTTTTGAAAAAAAACTACCAAAAATTTTCTGGGCTGAGGCAGTTAACACTGCCAATGATCTGTTAAATATCATTTGCACCAAAGCTCTTGCAAATGAGACCCCACATGAGTCATGGTATGGTGTTAAACCATCGGTGAGTAGCTACAAGTTATTTGGATGTATAGCTTTTGCACATATTCCAGAATGTAAGAGATCAAAGCTTGATGAAAAATCTAGAGTTGCCATCCATCTTGGACGCAGTGAATCAAGTAAGGGTTATCGACTCTTTGATGTAATGACAAGAAAAGTTTTTACTTGTAGAGATGTGGATTTTGCAGAAAACAAAAGATGGAATTGGATCTCGAAAGAAATTGAGTTGTCAGATGACTTGAGAATTGTTGATGACAGTAAAACTGCTCCAGCTGAATTAATAAATGAAGAAGATGTTGATGACTTGCCTGTTCGAGGAACTAGAAGTCTTCAAGAAATA